ACACACACACACACACACACACACACACACACACACACACACACAAACAAACAAAACAGGATTACTGTAGGAGACGATTGCTTGATAAATATCCAGGTATCTTTTAACAACTAGTGAGACTCTAAGCAACTCATCTCTTTAATTCATTATTTATGTACACTGTTTGGAGTTGTTTTATGAATGCAGTGGTCTGAAAATGAAACGTAATGACCAGCCAATGATAATCAGCACTGTCATGTCCTTAGCAAGACTTCAGTCTCTGATATTTGGTCTATACATATTCTCTCGAGAAAAGAAAAAAGCATGGATGTTATCTTTTTATGGCACTTTACCCATCCCAAGGGAATGGGTTGGGTTCATAATAGTGGTGATAATCCACACTTACCTGCCAGGTTATCCAGAGGGAGGCCTGGGTTTATGAGGTTGCTGTATGGCTTTGTGTACCCCAGCTCAACCCAGTTACTGTGACTGTAAAAGTCCTGAGAGTGCAGAGAAACACATGTTACACAAACCTCATATAACCTCCATACTTAAATTTCTGATTGTATGGCTGTTCCAATACCTTTTTAATTTAATTCATTTATGCCCTGGTGTTTTGTTGCACCCCTCTCACCTGTAGTGTGTGAAGGGCTCTACCCAGTGTTGTCCTTGCAGCCTGAAAATTCTCATTGTGAACGTTAGCTTTAATGGCCACCATGCCCTGTGTGATTAGGCTCCGCCCCTCCAAGAAAGCCTCAGAGTTGAAGTGATGTGGAGCACTAAAAGATTTTTTTAACATATAAGTGAGATCCTTGCCTTACCATTTGTAAAAATGTAATTTAATTATTCCATAGGTTGTTATTCCACGATTTTGCTTTACCTGTTGACAAAGTCGCGATCTACCAACCCATTCTGGGCGTAGATCTCTTGAAGAGCAGAATGAAATTTGGCACCAGACACCTCTCCTGTTGCTGTGGGACCTAGACAGGCTTGCACCAGCTCTTCAGGAGAGGAACCCTAAAGGGTAAAGTTATGAAGTTCAAAAAAATATTCCTGTTAAAAATGAAAAGGTGAGTACAAAATACATTTTACTTTATGAAAAAGAAAGCTCAAATTGTTAAAAAGCCTATAAGTTCTATTAAACACACACACACACACA